CCCTTCCTCTTCCTCCCACCCCACCCTCACCAGGACCCACCAGGACAACTTCGGGGGTGGTGGCCGAGAAGACCTCGTGTGACCAGGCCTGTCCCGGCAGCGGGGACCTGTCCCCTTTGCGTTGGAGGCGCAGACCCACCCGGTGGTGGCCCATGCTGTTGAGGAGCTGCGTCACCTCCCCCGACTGCAGGTTGTCGAAGTAGACGGTGGCGCTCACGATCTGGTCCCCTGGGGGGCGGGGTTGGGGGGGGGGAGGGTCAAGAGGTGAGATATTGGGGAAGGGACCCCCCCAAAATCCATCCCCACCAACAGCCAAACGGGGAGCAACCACCGCTCTTGGGGTTCTCTCCCCGAGGAGGAGGAGGAGGAAGGAAGCGAGGCCAAGATGGAAAAATGGACAAAAAGAACCCATTTCCCTCCCCAAAAAAAGAAAAATCAACCCCCAAATCTGCCCCACAACAAGCTCCGCCAAGGGCTGCACCCCCTCTTCCTCCTCCTCTTCCTCCTCCTCCTCTGCCTGAGCTGGGACCTCCTTCCCCCTCCTTCTTCCTCCTGAGTGAGGATTTCCTTCCTCTTCCTCCTGAGCAGGGACCCTCTTCCTCCTCCTCCTCTTCCTCCTGAGTGAGGACTTCCTTCCTCCTCCTCCTTCCTCTTCCTCCTGAGCGAGGACCCCCTTCTTCCTCCTCCTTCTCCTTCCTCTTCCTCCTGAGCGAGGACTCCCTTCCTCCTCCTCCTTCTCCTTCCTCTTCCTCTTGAGTGAGGACTTCCTTCCTCCTCCTCTTCCTCCTGAGTGGGGTTCCCCTTCCTCCTCCTCCTCCTTCCTCTTCCTCCTGAGCGAGGACTCCCTTCCTCATCCTCTTCCTCCTGAGCAAGGACCCCCTTCTTCCTCCTCCTTCTCCTTCCTCTTCCTCCTGAGTGAGGACTCCCTTCCTCCTCTTCTTCCTCCTGAGCAGGGACCCCCTTCCTCCTCTTCCTCCTGAGCGAGGACTCCCTTCCTCCTCCTCCTTCTCTTTCCTCTTCCTCCTGAGAGGGGATTCCCTTCCTCCTCCTCTTCCTCCTGAGTGGGGTTCCCCTTCCTCCTCCTCTTCCTCCTGACTGGGGACCCCCTTCCTCCTCCTCCTTCTCCTTCCTCTTCCTCCTGAGTGGGGACTCCCTTCCTCATCCTCTTCCTCCTGAGCAAGGACCCCCTTCTTCCTCCTCTTCCTCCTGAGCGGGGACCCCCTTCCTCCTTCTCCTTATCAGAGAACTCCTTCCTCCTCCTCTTCCTCCTGAGCAGGGATCCCCTTTCTCCTCCTCTCAAGCAAGGACCAAGGACCTTCTTCTTCCTCCTCTTCCTCCTGAGCGAGGACTCCCTTCCTCCTCCTCCTTCTCCTTCCTCTTCCTCCTGCTCAGAGACCCCCTTCCTCCTCCTCTTCCTCCCGAGCAAGGACCCCCTTCTTCCTCCTCCTTCTCCTTCCTCTTCCTCCTGAGTGGGGACCCCCTTCCTCTTCCTCTCAAGCAAGGACTGGGGACCCTCTTCTTCCTCCTGAGCAAGGACTCCCTTCCTCATCCTCCTTCTCCTTCCTCCTCCTTCTGAGTGGGGATTCCCTTCCTCCTCCTGAGCGGGGATCCCCTTCCTCATCCTCTTCCTCCTGAGCAAGGACTCCCTTCTTCCTCCTCTTCCTCCTGAGCGGGGACCCCCTTCCTCCTCCTTCTTCTCCTTCCTCTTCCTCCTGAGCGGGGACTCCCTTCCTCCTCCTCCTCCTCCTGAGTGGGGACCCCCTTCCTCCTCCCCACCAAGGTGCCCCCCCCGAGGGACAGATGCCCCCACGTGGGGAGACACCCCCCCCCCAGCGCTGCCACCAGCTCTGGGGACATCAGAGGGACACGGAGCTGGGGGAGAGGGACCAGAGGAGGCCACTGAGACGCCCCAGATTGGACGGGGCTTTGGGCAACCTCATCTACTGGGAGATGGCCCTGCCCGTGGTGGGGTTGGAGAAGGTGGCCTTGAAGGGTTCCTTCAACCCAAACCAGTTTGATTCCATGACTGGAAGAGTTCAAGGCCAGGTTGGACAACCTGGTCTTGGAGATGTCCCAGCTCATGGTGGGGGTTGGATGAGGTGGCCTTGAGAGGTCCCTTCAACCCAAACCAGTCCATGATTCCATGACTGGAAGAGTTGAAGACCAGGTCAAAGCAACCTGATCTACTGGGAGATGTCCCTGCTTGTGGTGGACACTGGATGAGGTGACTTTTGAAGGTCCCTTCAACCCAAACCAGTCCATGGTTCTGCAACTGGAAGAGTTGAAGGCCAGGTGGGAGCAACCTGATCTACTGGGAGATGTTCCTGCCCGTGGTGGACACTGGATGAGGTGGCCTTGAAAGGTTCCTTCAACCCAAACCAGTCCATGATTCCATGACTGGAGGGTTTCAAGGCCGGGTTCGATGGGGTTTGGGGCAACCTGGTCTTGTAGATGTCCCTGCTCATGGTGGGGGTTGGAGAAGGTGGCTTTGAGAGGTCCCTTCAACCCAAACCAGTCCATGATTCCATGACTGGAGAGGTTCAAGGGGTTTGATGGGGTTTGGAGCAACCTGGTCTTGTAGATGTCCCCGCTCATGGTGGGGTTGGATGAGATGGCCTTGAAAGGTTCCTTCAACCCAAACCAGTCCATGATTCCATGACTGGAAGAGTTCAAGGCCAGGTTCGATGGGGTTTGGGGCAAGCTGGTCTTGGAGATGTCCCTGCTTGTGGTGGGCACTGGATGAGGTGACTTTTGAAGGTCCCTGGAGGTGTTCAAGGCCAGATTCGAGGGGGTTTGGGGCAAGCTGGTCTTGGAGATGTCCCTGCTTGTGGTGGGCACTGGATGAGGTGACTTTTGAAGGTCCCTGGAGGTGTTCAAGGCCAGATTCGATGGGGTTTGGGGCAAGCTGGTCTTGGAGATGTCCCTGCTCATGGTGGGGTTGGATGAGGTGGCCTTGAGAGGTCCCTTCAACCCAAACCAGTTTGATTCCATGACTGGAAGAGTTCAAGGCCAGGTTGGACAACCTTGGAGATGTCCCCGCTCATGGTGGGGTTGGATGAGGTGGCCTTGAGAGGTCCCTTCAACCCAAACCAGTCCATGATTCCATGACTGGAAGAGTTGAAGGCCAGGTGGGAGCAACCTGATCTACTGGGAGATGTCCCTGCCTGTGGTGGGCACTGGATGAGGTGGCCTTTGAAGGTCCCTTCAAGCCAAACCATTCCATGACTGGAGGCTTCAAGGCCAGGTTTGATGGGGTTTGGGGCAACCTGGTCTTGTAGATGTCCCTGCTCATGGTGGGGTTGGATGAGGTGGCCGTTGAAGGTCCCTTCAACCCAAACCAGTCCATGGCCTTGAAGAGTTGAAGGCCAGGTGGGAGCAACCTGATCTACTGGGAGATGTCCCTGCCCGTGGTGGGCACTGGATGAGGTGGCCTTGAGAGGTCCCTTCCCACCCAAGCCCTCCTGCCATCCCATGGTCCCACCTTCCTTCACGACGCCCATCTTGGCGGCCGGGGAGTTCTGCTGCACCCGTTTGACGAAGACCCCGTCGTCCGTCTGGTCGATGGTGATGCCGTGGGAGCCGCTGCCCTGCCAGTTGGGGAGCAGGATCTCCCGGGTCTCCTCCTCCTTCTCCATCTGGGGGAAGAGGGAGAAGGAGAAGGTGATGGAGGGAGGAGAAGGCCGTGGGTTTTGGACTGGGGGGGGGGGGGGGGGGGGAAGCGGGTCCGACCTGATGGGAGGGAGCAGCTTGGCAACGGTTGAGGTTCGCCCAGAGCTGCAAAATTTCTCTCGGCTGCTCGTTCCTTGCAGGAAAACTGCTCCTTTCTGCTTGCCAGAAGGGATTTCTTCCCGACAGCCAGCACGGGGCTGCACCAGCCCCCCAGGCAGCCATTTGCAGCTTCACTAGAATGACCTGTGCGCACCAGGGACACCTTTGTGAAGACTCTCCTACCCACACCTTTATTTGCCACCTCTGCGGAGCCAGTGGTTATGGTGGGCCAGGCCTTTTTCATCTTCTT